CTGTGTTTAGCATTTTAACCTAAAACACTTGGTTACAGTAATTGGGAACATTTGGGAGATTAAGTGGTCTCCCAAATGTTCTTAAATTGGGGCTCTATCATCAAGACATAAAAGACTTCCTCCTTACTACCAGCATTGCTGCTTACTCATGGTGAAATTGCCAGATGTTCTCAATTACAACATCGCCCAGTTTCTTGCTTTTCAAATTTGCCATATTTTCATCACTGTAAAATGTAAGGTCTTGGTCTTCTGCTTTGTTTATTTTGAGGGAGGAAGAGAAAGAAGGTTTCAGAGAATGAGATGAGCAGGAAATGTAGCAGTCTTTTTAAATTTTTATTTTCAAAGTATGCTTGCCCCTTTTGGGCAAGTTGTAGTTAATTCCTAGTTTTGTGCATAATCTGAAGAATGACTTGGGTATGGGAAGGGTGCATGTGAGGTAGCTTTTTCTCCTGAGGAAAATGTCTTTAAAGCTGGCAGAATTATGTCTAGCAGTTGACTGGACGGGAGAAGAAAAAGATCGTAACTGAATAAAAAATGTGATTAAGGAGAGGGGTAAGCTACTTTTTACTGATACAGAAAATCTGAAGTTCTTGTTACCTCTTCTGCTTTCAATAAATCAGTAGCTTAGGAATATAAAAGTTGCAATCTTGAAACAGTAAAGAGAATTCAGGATGGAATAACTATAGTGAAACTGATTTCTACAGGAAAATAAGAAAACACCTAATGTCTAATATGGCATATGGTTAGAAATCCAAATACACTGCAACAGTATATTTTCCTCTGATGTATCCTTTGTGGATTGTTATAAAAGGAAAGGGATGTGTGTATATAAAATAAGATGTGGGAATTCTGCAAGGTTTCCTTAAAAAAAAAAAAAAAGTTCTGTATTAATTTTTAAAGACTTTTTTTAAAATAATTTTGATTATTTATATATTATTATTTCTTAAAGTATTTTGAGTTAAAGCCCAGAGAGAGCATCTTTTATTTTTGCTGCCATGAAGAGCTACTGACATCTTCCTAATATTTTATTTTTTGTAATGTTTACTCTGCGAATAAAACTGCATCCTCAAATATGCATTATGTCTGAGGAAGGTGCAAGCTTTCTGAGGCTCTTCTCAATTTGTTTGAAATTGAAATAGCTTTCTAGGAATAGTTTATTTAGGTTTCTTTCCAATGATTAGTAACTAGCTCTTCAAATTTGATGTATCCCTGGAATATTTGCTAGTAGGAGGATAGAATGAATTAGTTTTTAATTGAATAAGATATCTTCTAACCTGTGTTCATGCTCTCTGTTTTGCTAGGGTTGTATATTTGAATCAAATTAGATTTTTTTTGAAGTTATTCTCTATCAATAAAGGTGAAGAAAAAAGAAACTTGTTGGATAAATTACGCTTTCCTATATTTCATTTTGGGTTTCAAGAGAAAGCACAAAATACAATAGGAACAATAAGAGTGTGAAACATCACTACTGACTTTTCTCTAGTCCCTCATGATTTTAAATTGAATGCAATTTCTTCAGTGCAGTGTTTCCCATACACATATCTAAACAAAACAATTAGACCTCTCTGCAAGCTACTATAAAAAGAATAGGAACAATAAGAGTGTGAAACATCACTACTGACTTTTCTCTAGTCCCTCATGATTTTAAATTGAATGCAATTTCTTCAGTGCAGTGTTTCCCATACACATATCTAAACAAAACAATTAGACCTCTCTGCAAGCTACTATAAAAAGTCAGTAACTTTGAGTCTTTAGCATAGTAGTTCTTTTTTTCTTTCTTCTCTGTATTTGGGCTGTAGGGGCTGGTGTGGTGTAGAAAGACTGTATATTGCCTGGTCTGCTTGGCAGCTAACAGCTGTCAGCAGTGGAAATGCAAGCTGTTTTTATCAGGGGATTTCTGACATGAAGGATGTGTTGGGCAAGATAGAAATTTCAGCTTTTAGGAGTGTCAGTGGGGAATGGGATGCACGAAGATGCAGAGACACAGGCAAAAATGCAGTAACAACGTGGTATAGTTGGCTGGAAGTTTAGCAAATGGAGGTTAAGAGTAACTGACCTCTGCTGGGTACTGGCTGGTTCTTGGCTTTTTGTGAATCAAATTTGTTTCTTCTAGAGATTGTCTTGAGTTCTAATTTTGAACTTGTGTAGGAAAATATAAGAACACAAAAATAAACTTAGTCCAACTCTTCTAATAAACAGGAAAATGATTATGAAATGCTGCAAATGAAAGGGTTAGTCGTACAAACACCCAATAAGTACAGGAGCACTTCCCTGGGGAAGGATAGGCTAACACAACCAGGCAAAACCAAGCATTTGGTTGTGGTGGTTTTCTTGCTGTTGGTGTAGAGAGTTGTTAGTCTTAACATGATTACAGGGCTGCTTTATTTTTCTAATATGTTCTCCCATTCCAATGTGTATGGGTCTATACTGAGAGCAATCCAGTATGATGATAATTCTTCCTGACTGATTTCTTAAACGTGGTAGAACAAACAGTGTTCCTAAGCATAGGTGTATTATTTGTAGGGGAAGTCATGGTGAGGAACAAGATGGTAATTGGTGAGAACACAGGACAAAGAGGGTGAGAAATGGGTAAAAATGGCTTATGAGCTTACCAGGTGTGTGAGGGTTTCAGTAACCACGTTTGACAAGGCATCTGATAAGAGAAGCAATTGGTATTGCTGCAGCTGGTTTCTGGTACATTTTTTTTTTGACTCTGGCCCCGTAGACTGCCCAATCCACATAGTGTTTCCTGAATTGTGGCCTGCAGGACACTGCTGTGCATGGCTGTTCCAGAGGAGAACTGCAAATGTTTCTCATGGAGTTTTCAGCTAGAACTCTGAGCTAGCAGCCTGGGAAATGGGATGTTGACAATGATTCATTGGTACAGAAAGTTTAGGAATCACTGTTGAAATAGCAGTAACTGATTTAAACTGTAATAATGGCACTGATGACTACAGACCACCTAGAACTGGGCCTCAGGTGGGATCCCGCAGAGGTCTCCTTTGGCTTAAGTCTCTTAGTAGATGCCAGAGGACTTGCTCAAGACAATCAGGATTCAAAACGATCTTGGTAGATTACTGCCTGAAGTCAAAAATTGAAAGTCATTAGACAAATGAGGACTGTGTTGGTGAGGCGAGATCATAGCTGCATATAGACATAAAACTGGGGGAGTGGAGGACATCAAGGTTGCGTATGAATATAAAACTGGCAAAAGTGATCAGGCAGAGGTATGGGAGAAGAGTTCATAGGTTCAACGAGCGTTGAATGAAGTATAAGAACTGAAATTCTTTTAAGGGAGGAAAAAGCTGGGAGGTCTTACTATAATAAGATAGTTGTTCTGAGTAAGTTATCAGAAGAACTCGCCAGACCTTGCTGAGGTCTCAGCTGGAGTGCTGCCTTGTCTAGGCATCCTGCTTTAAGAAATGCAAGTTGGAGTGTCCAAGAGCAGTAACAAGAGTTTTGGAAAGCATAGTAAGCAAGAAGATTGAAGGCATCAGTATATACAGTTCGAAAAGAATAGACTGTGAGGGATAAGAATTATCTCAGAATGATTTATAAGGACTCTTTATAAGATCAGATTCTTCTGGGAATAGCTTGAAAAAAAAATGGCTTAATTTTTAACAACATATTGTGGTTAGATCAGCAGCTCCTCAACCACAATTCTAAATGTGGTCCTGACAATATGAATATAACTGCAAACCTGAGATTAATGAAGATTTTTCCATCTCTTTTCTTGGAATTGTGAGTTGTTTTATTTTCATCTCTGTCCAAATTTTCTTATGTCTTTACAATTTGAACTAATGCTCTTTTAGTAATGATCCAGTCCAGCACGAATAATGAAGTGATGTCACAGCTGGTAGTTAATAAAATATTTGAGGTTACTGTCTTTCTTGGGAGACAGAAAGTGCAGTTGTAGGCTGCTGATGTTGGTAAAAAGAGAGCTTTTAAGGCACACGGGATTCTCTTTTTGCCTTTTCAGTGGAATGGGATGTTGCGCACAGAATGATTAAGTGGGAAGTGCAGGTGGGGAGAAAGGCAAGTTAGACACTGTATGCATGAGTCTGCTCTGATTTTTGGTGTTATGCACAAAATGTGGAATAAATACAGGGATGTGATAATGATTCAAGAGAGAACTTTTATTTCTTCTAGCTGCTTTGTAAGTCTTAGTGAATGTTGCTTAATTCTTAATTTTCTGTGATTCACAATTTATGCATGCATTCGCAAGTAGCTTTAATTTTTAGCTTTTCTTCCCTGGGCTTCTGATTTTGATTCGGACTTCACGGTGCCTTTTTTTTTTTTTTTTTTTTTTTAAGATTAGTTTAGGAGTATGTCTTCCTTCAGAACAGCTTAGCCACAGTGGAATATCAAAATTTTTATTAAGGAACTTTAATTATCATGAGTTCTTAGTTTCTGCTCACTTGTAAATTATCTCTGTTTTTTTTTTGTAGTTTTATAGAATTTTCAAATATGTTGAGTTATAGTATTTGAAACTAGTTTTAGTTGGATATAGAAATGAAAGCCAACAGCTTCGTCATAATTCCAAAATAACTAAACTTATATTTCTACTGTGCAGTTTCTTTTCTTCCAAAATGTATGCTAGAATTCATATTTACCCTAAAATTTCTGGATTTTTGTGCATTTCAAACCCAGCATTTGCACCGTAGCTGTCAGAATACTGCTCTGTATTCTAAATGTCATCTCTTCTTAATGTGTGATTGAAAGTAATGAAAGGAGGAAAAAAAAAGAAAAAACAAAACAATTGTTTTAAAGTTTCATATGTTAATGAAACATAATACTCATATGTTAAACAGTTTAGTAATGGTTAAATACCAGAGTTAGGTCTGAAATAGTTACATGAGTCAGTTTTGCAGTTCAGGCGTTAGAGTAGTATTTTACATTGGTAAACACTTTGTAATGTTTTAGAGATGAAAATAAACCATGTTGGATTTTAAGTTAATTTTGTTTACTTTTGTTTTATAGAAGTATATTTTTTTTTCTAGTTTAACTTTGTTGGAAGAATCCTTGGACCCAGAGGACTAACAGCTAAACAGCTTGAGGCAGAAACAGGATGCAAGATAATGGTCCGAGGGAAGGGCTCAATGAGGGACAAAAAGAAGGTAAGTGCTTGAAAGGTTTCAGATGTCTGGTTTCCTTTCCTGATGCAAAGGAAAAGGCAACGCCCCCCTTCCCCCAAAGTAATGTTGTCATTATATGCTTCTTCAGTATTAGTATTTACAGGTGTGGTGGGCAACGCTTTTCTCAAACAGTTTTTCTTAAAGTAATTTTTCATCCCCTATAATGGTGTGATTGCGAGTCTAACTAGCAATTACAAAGTATTTTGTAATAGAATAACTTCTGATTATTTAAAATGCTTTCCATCTGAAGGTGAAACTTACACGTGTTCTTAAGAGCTTTCTTCTGCTGAAATACCAAAATAATGGCTTTTGCAAGTAATGCACACTGTTGCATTTGTGGCGATGAATTTTCTCTGTATGGAGTGAACAAACAAGCACTGCATTTACTTGGACCTTGTGGAGAGCTGGAATGTAATTAAGACTGTTCCTTGCTCTCTCCTGTAATACGTCTTGCCCATATAAATAGGGAAACTTTTGTTTTCAGGATATGCCTACCCGAACATCAAGTTGGCATGATGGTATCTTCCGGAAGTCATTGCTGTTTGGGTTTTGTGGTGTTTTTTTCTTTTTTTTTTCTCTTCTTTTTTGTGTGTGTGTGTGTGTGATTTTATTTTCTAAACTTTTTTTTTTTCCTCTGGTTACTGCTTGCTGAACTTGTACCTGCATCTTCACTTCCATTTGAGATGTGTTACCATAATTCTTTCTTCTTTTGGTTTGTTCTTTAGAAACTCACTTTTTTTTTCCTTACCTGATCTGCCACATAGTATGTTCTGTTAGTAAGTATGTAGCACATAGCAATTAAAATAGAAAGCCAATACCTACTCAGTTAAAGCAAACAAACAAACAAAAAAGCAGACTTCTCAACAGATTTCAGTTGTTTAGCTTGCTAACTTCTGCATGAAGATCTGCTCTGAACTGTGAGGGATTTTTGGTCCAGATTCTGTAGAAGTAACAGGCTGATGTTGTCTTAAATGGTGCTTATTTTATGAAGACTTAGAATTTATTTTTTAAATCATTCTAATTTACATCCTGAATTCCTTCTGCCTCTTAGTTGCATGAACATTCAACATGTAAATGAGTCTTGTTTTTGTGGAGTTTTAAACTCCATAAAATTGACAAGAACAACTTCTAAAGATGATATTTTTGTAGAGGATTTTGAAATACAGGTTTCCTATAATTGGGGGTGGAATGAGACTTTGAAAGCATAGAGTATTAAAATTTCAACATGCTTTAGTTGTATCGAGTTGCGTGGGGTGTTGATGCTGTATGTTGAAGTAAAGCGTATGGTTGCCAATATGTGAACAGTCTCAGCTTCATGATTTTGCTTATGACTTTTAATAGTATTCTTTTTTTCTTGTATACATTCTACTATATTGTGGAAAAGAGGCTGTTCTGGAGCAGAAGATTTAGTGGAGATGCTGCCTTCCTTTTATAGTTTGCAGACCTACCTTAGTTTTCATTAGAATATTCTAGACACTTTTTGGGTGATGGATTAAATAGAAGTTGACTATTGATTATGTGGCATAATATCAAAAACAACAAATATTTTTTAAAATTTGGAAGATTCCAAATTTACAATAGAAAGTATGAATTATCAGACTACTATTCTGAAATGAGAAATATTAATCCCTTAAAAATGATAATAGTTTAAAGTTCATTCAGCTCTTTCCTACTTAACCATAGCTTTTAAAGTACGGTTTGCGTTTTTATATCTAGCACAGTTCTTCAGCTCTGCCCATAAATGAATGTCTGCTTATCAACACCCTCTCTTCCTTTAGGAATTAAAATTCTAGGTCTGGGGTAGTTCATCAGATTGTGTGACTTTTATTCCAAGTAAAATTACTAAAATTATTAGTTTTGGTTCATTTAAGTTCATAGGTATTATGAGCTAAAACATTTCAGGCATCTATTCTTTAGCAAGTTTGTAAGTTAGGCTCCAAACTTAATGGTCTCAAAATAATACCTTGCTATTAGTAGTAAACATATGTATATTTAAGAGAGATGTTAACAGCCTTGCTCTGATATATCCTTAAAAGTTTTGCAAATTGGCTTTGCTGTGTGGCAAATGGTCTAATCCATTTAGTTGTGTTAGCAATAGCTGTACTTGCAGGCAGTTACAGTTGTGGGGGAAAAAGAGAAGAGAATTTGCATGAGAATTTCTCATGGAGGGGCCCATTCCCCCATAAATGTGCCATTTACAAAGCTTGTTCTGAAAAGCACCCAGAAGAGAGGAGGATGCTTCAGGCTTTTGGAAAGGCCTGCATGTTTCCTGGGATCTTGGCTTGCAGCCATATGTCCCACTCAGTTATTCCTCCTTTTCCCCTTCCTTCCCCTTCCACTCAGCCTGAGCAGAACCCAGTGTGACCCAGTGAATTTAGACGAACTGTGGGAGGAGCCATTCTCCAAAATGTGATAACTGTGTTTTGGCTATAGAGCCTTCAGTCTTTGGATACCTTTTCATTTAATAGGGTCTCACTGAAGACACACCCAAGTAGTTGAGCCTGAAGGTGCTCTGTTTGGGTGCTATCTCTAGGGAGGCACCTATGTTCCTGCAGCCTCCTGTCCTGTCCTGGGTTCACATGAGAACATCCTGCACTGTTGTTGGTGGTCATCTGCTTGTGTTAGGACTCCATCCATGTTTGTCTCCCTCTTAGACTTTGTAAAAAAGTTCCACTGTTCTTCAGAGTTCACCCTTTCCTGTGAGGAGTCATTTGTCTAGTTAGCATGGGCAGGTTTTCTGTATGGGAAAATACTCTACCTTGTAGAAATGACCTTTTTGCACTACCTCTTTTTCTCTTCTTTTTTATAAAGCGCTGCTCCAAAGAGAATATACTGGAGTAAATTACCAGAGTTTTGTCTTTGAGGAAAAGTTTGTAGACTTGGGACCTTGAGAATATGCATCTGCTGCTTCTTACTTGAAATAAAAAATGAAAGTTGTCTGCAGCAAAGTGTAGTTCTGAATGGCTCAGATAAAAGATAATACCTGCTCCATACACTGACTAGAGCAGTTAGTGGTGAGTCTTGTCTTAGCACAGTCTACGTTAAGACATTTCAGGTTGGGTGGATTATTAAGGGCGGTGTAAGGATGTCTTAAAGCTCATGTTCCAATATAGGGCAGGAGAAAAGGCAGAAATGTTACCTCTGTTACATTGCCTGATGTTTTTGGAGCACAGAGCACTTTACAGTTGATGATGATTTCATGAGATAATACTACAATTATTGTGGAACATGTGCCAAACAAATTACTTGATAGAAGCTATTTTCATGCCCTACATTTCTAGTCTTTCCATAGCTTTTCACTACTCTGAGGTGATTCGTGTTACTCACTGGCCTGGTATATTGAGTCGATGGACTTTGTGGTGCAGAGTGTGCTCTGGTGCCTTGTGTGAGCTACCGTTACTGCTGCAGTTACAAGCGTCACTGAAGCACCGATTGTAATGCACTTTACAGTGCATCTTGTACCTCAACTAGAATAGATTTTTTTGGACAGTTTTTCTTCTAAAAATAAGAACAGTTGGAAGCCTTATTCAAGACACATTCACAAACAGAATAAATTATCAAGCGGTGATATTTATAAGTTTCAGAAGTAAGTACACTTCTTGCTATTGGCCTATGCCCCTTTTCCTTATGAATTAATGTTTACAGTTGAGCTCCTCAGGACAAGACAAACGGCTCACTTCAGCAGTCAGAGCAGAGTGTGCTCTTGTGGAGGATTAGGTTATGCTTTGTTTTGGAAAGCCATGACGTCTCATCTCGTTGCCTCCAGAGGAAATGTCCTACATAAGGAGGAGACTTTCAAGGTTTTTCCTATTTGCTTGAATTGCATTGGAATTTGGGGGAGACTGTAGGTAGAAGTTAATCCATACATATACTTCATGAGTATGTTTGATGTCTGCAAACCGGTTGCCCAGTGCAAGTTATAAAAGAAGCTTTACTGGAAGTAAAATAGTTGTTTCAGTAAAATAGTTGCAACGTAGTTGTGTTTTCAGTTAGCAAACCAGTTGTCAGTAGCTAATGTGACAGTTTCATGATGCCAAATAACACCTCCTAGTGTTGTTAATTATCCATCTGTTTCCTCCTTCCTTGCTAGTAGTAGTAGTAGTAGTAGCAGCAAAATGCAAGAAAAAATACAAAAGACTGAAAGGGAAAACAAATTCAGGGAAATAAACCATCTCCATTTACTATGTAGAAAACTTTACACTGCTCTCCTTGCCTGTGAACAGAAATAATGAATTAGAAGTCTAACAACCAAGTCTTCGCATGGTCAAGTCGCCTGAACTTCAATCTAATAAGTGTGCCTGTCACTCGGTAGAGTGGAAGATCGCAGTTTTCACACCGAAGGATACTGTTTTAAAAAAAAAAAAAAAAAAAAGACTACCCTGTGATGGATGAACAAGAATATTGGGTTTATATCTTCCATCTTATGCAACTGCTTTCAAGCATTGGCATGCTCATAGGAAACCGACTCTATTTCTCTAACATGATCTCTCTTGATAGATTATGGGACGCCAACTCTTTTAAGCATGAACATTTTGCTGTCTTGTATTTCCACCTAGATATATTAGATGACTCTCTGGTCGCCTTTTTTCCACTCACTAAAAGTTACATAAGCGACCCGGACTTGAAATTAGATTCAAGTTATATGAGAGAGTATTTCTTAAAATAGCAGTCCAAATAAGGGTGGTGACTCATCTGCTTATTTCTTAAGGTTTTGACAGACTAGAGTGTTGAAGTTTTACATGTGAATGTTTGAAAGTTGTTTTTGACTGGTAATTGAATGTATTAAATACACTTCTGTCTTTCTGAAACTTAATACTCTTTTGCAAAAGACAGAAGTTCTCTCTATAGTAAAGGATAAAGTTTTGCTACTGGAAGGTCTTAAGTTGCTCAAGCACTGGAGGGGGAAAAAAAGAGTAGAAAAATAGTACTGTTCTTCGATCAGGTTGTTTACAACATTTACATGTTATATAGGAGTGCTGTAT